GGGGGGTAGATCGCTTTTAGGGACAAGCGGGCTAACCCAGATTTCGGGGGTTTCCAGAAATCTTGACCTACACTAAAAGTGGACATTGCCCTAGTTTGGTTTCATTGGTGTACGTGTATATTTGTTTGGTTATAGAGAAAACTCTCTTTGTCTTCTAAAGAAACTGAACAAGAAGCAAAAACTTTACCTTCAATTTTCTCAAAACAGCATTTTTGGGGGATAGCCCGCTTGTGCTGAAAGAAGCAACCATATAATACAAAAGCGAAAATATGCTACACCTCTCCTGTGGACCCTGGACTGGCCTCCGGTTGAGACAAGAGTTTTGTACAACTGTGCACATTGGCCACTCTGTCTCTCAAAGACATGAATGTGTCTTCATATTGGTTGCACTTAAGCACAAGGGGGCTATCCTGAAAAATGCTGTTTTGAGAAAGTCGAAGGCAAAGTTTTTGTCCCCCTATACAGTTTCTTTAAATGACAAGGAGAGTTTTCTCTATACCGGGGTACCAAACAAATATACGCGGCAATGAAACCAAATTTCTCCTATATTATATAGGGCAACGCCCACTTTTGGTGTAGGTCAAAATTTCTGGAAACCCCCAAAATCTGGGTTAGCCCGTTAGTCATTATAAGCGACCAGTTAATCAAATCTACGGAAACTTATCATTCCTGCTAGTCGGCGTAAGGCAAGGTCATTTCGTCAAGCTGCTACCTTTTTGACCTAAGTCAGAATTAGGCCAAAATGCAACTGATGAACCGCTGGACTCCTTGACATGTGCTTAATATAGTGACGTAAAATTAAAATTATACTCCAAACCATTTCAAACTGAATTTTTAAATTGCATTTGGCCAAAGTCAAAAGTGACAATGATTTCGTCGTGTAATTTGGCCTAAGTCTTATATAGGCCAATTCCTTTCTCTTTCATTTTACCTATGTCAGACTTAGGCCAAATCCTGGGCAAGTTTCTTACCTTCAGTCTTAGGTCTAACTGTCCTTTTCAATTTAATTCCTTTCATAATGGCCTAAGTCATTGAGAATTGAAAAACGAAAAAAAAAATGTTGCTCAAGTCATTTTGCAAAATGGCCTAAACCAGAGACAACAGTAACGAAATGGCTCAAGTCATTTAGCAAAAGACGGTCTAAGTCAGAGGATACAGTCATGAAATGGCCTATACTATGTCAGTCACATCCCATACTTTTGGTTTTTTATTGGAAAATAACTATTGGTACTAATAAGGGATGGTAAATTAATTGCCTCTGAAAATTTTGGGCTATCAAAGTGCATTTTTCACCTACTAAACTGAGACAGCGTTTTTTCAATTTTATCTCCGAAGTGTAAAATTTTTACAAAAAATGACATAGGCCAAAAAAGTAGCACCATTTGCTGACAGAAACAAATGATGTAAGCTTCGATTAAATTCAAAACAATGGTGAAAGGACATTTGCATGTGGTCCAAAAATTGAAGCTAGAAATTAAAGAGATATCAAATCTTTTAATTCATTTGAAAATCAGCTCAAGTCATGTCTGTTTTGAGACGAAAGAGAGAATTATATATTTAGAAGTTGAGTCAAAACTCAATGGACTGTTTATGTTGCTTTGCTGTTGTATTTGTCAAGCGCTCAGGGCTCGTGTTCTTTTGTTTTCTATAAGAGTTTTACGGCACTTGAAACACACTTAGGTAGTATAAAAGTGCTGCCCCCCCCCCCCCCCCCGGGGGGGAGTGCCACTGACTGTAGTGTCTTTAGGCCATTCACAAAGGGTGGACATTTCTCGTTCATGCACAGTAGAATTGTTAATGGGCTGATCCATCAAGTCACGCTCATAACTGTGCCTGATCTACTCCGGGGAACTGCTGCTTTTTCTTTCCTAATCCTTACTATTGTCTTTTTCCTCTACATCTTTTGTATGTTTGTCACACTCTTGTGCCCTGCTATTTCCGGGGTTCCTTGATAGTCGAAGCAGACTTTGTGCTGTTCAAGCTAGAGAGATGAGCAGAGTAAGTCTGATTCCCTGTAAAGACTTCTCTGTTGACACCAACCCTTAGCGTACAAGAAACACTCATATGACCTTATGCAGTTGCGAGCGCCATAAAACCCTCTCTACTAAAACTAAAAAGTGCTGGAGAATAGAGTTGTTACAACAAGAGAGTAACAGACACAAAAAAGGAGGAGGACAGATGAGGACGATAGGTGTTTGATGAGAAAGAAGGAACAAACCCCACCAGAACACCCGCCAA